CGCACCCACTCCCCCCTATAACCCCCCCCCCCCCCTCACAGATAAAATAATACACCCCCGTTCTAAGCAGTATTGGCAGTAAGTATCTGAGCATTTGGGCGAGTAGGAGTACTCGCCCAAATACTCGGTATCCATATTGGTGCTTCCCTAATGTAGACCCATTATGAATTATTGGTAGAATCATTGTGTAAAGTACCTCAACTTCTTGCTGAAGCTTCTGATTCTCATCCAGCAGCCTCTGTATCTCCTGTCCTTTGGATCTGTGAGCAGAAGCTAGATCCATGTGGTCTCCAAAGTTCCCTGGTCTGACCTGTTAAAAGAAAAGTGCAATAGTAAACATAAGGAAAGTCTGCTGTAGTGACAATTACAATCTGCTAGCCCTTACAAAAGCATAGAACATACTTCACCATCCTTGGCTTCCTTTTCAGCCTTTTCAAGTAGCTTTTTCAGTTCCTCAGTTTTTGACTGATAAGCCTTCAGATCAGACTGCAACTGTATAATCTGCTGACGTTTTGTTTTGTTGCTGCTCATGCAACGCTCAAGCTCTGTTTTCAGCTCTGTGATGATAACATCTGACGGAAGGTCTTTTCGGATGCCATTAGTGCGCACTGACCTGCATAGACAAAGAAAGAAGGAAAGAAGTAAAAAAAAAAAAAAAAAAATTCACAGATAAATAATTTTTTCATCAATAAAATTAGTTTGCAGTTCAAATAAAAAAAAAAAAGAAGTATTGTTTTCACAATTAAATACCACAAACAATTCAAAGAGGCCAAACCATAGTAATGGAATACACCGTAAAGGGAAATTATCAAAACTGGAGCAGACAAAATCTGGAGCAGTTGCGCATGGCAATCAGCTTCTCTCTTTCATTTTCAAATCTTAACTGAACAAACTGAAGAGAGAAGCTGATTGGTTGCCCTGCACAACTGCTCCAGATTTTGTCGGCTCCAGTTTTAATAAATTCCCCCCCCATGTGTTTTAAAGGGGGGAGAGGATTAGTGAATATACTGGGTCGATATAATAGGCCAGGCCAGGCCAGTCTACAGAGAATCTAAGAAGCTAAAAGA